CCGGCTACTACTGGTGGTAGGGTTTCTCTGGCACTGCGTATAATATCGTCATGATGACATTCCTTTTTTTGCACGCCTATAAATCTCTCCAATCTAGCGATGGTTAGTGACTTGTCTACCTTTACTCCTCATTAGACTCACGAGAAGTTGCCAAATGCTCTGCCAAAGTATGCGTTGGAGACGCTGATCCTGCCCACAGTCACGTGGCTGGCGCGTTTGCAGCTGAGCTCGGGCAACTGGCCTTCTAGTCTGGGCTCGAGTATCGGCCAGGACCGTCTGGTGCAGTGGTGCCATGGTGCACCCGGTATTGTGCCTCTGTTGCTCTGCGCATACAAGGTGAGTCTTGCCTGACCAATTGTCACTTTGGCTGCCAAGCCTATTTTTGTCCGACTTATTGGTTCGAATTGAAGTAAGAAGGTTGCCAGTGATTGTGATGAGTTACAGTTTGAGCTTATATCTCTTTGTGGCGTGACCCTATGTGGCATAAGTCTTGTGAGAGAATTGGACTGCTAATGTTGACTTATGACATCTTGTCTAATCGCACTATCTGCCTGAAAGCATGAAATTATAATGCTGGGTGATGCCTTTTATAATTATGACCGCCATAAATGGGAGGATATTTAGTTCCAAACTGTTTCGACATTTTATCTAACTTCACCCCAGTATGGTAACGATGGCTTCCGAGTTTATGTTATTGCTTTTGAGGCTTTTACACTAGCTGGTTTTTCATTCCCATGTTATAATTCAGTCATCCAACCTCTTTGATCTGTTTAACTTCCTCTTTTCAGTCATATATTCTGGATTCTGGCCATCGGCTCCACGACAGAGCTTATATTTAGGACCAAAAAATATTTTCCACTTCTTCATATTTTCTAAAAATGCTCAATGTCACATATTTGTGGCACAGGGCCCAAGTAAGAAAATTGAGGCTTTATGTATATTTAGTGCCTGTAGCAAGCCTGCTAAGGTACCAAATTGTCATTGCGTGCGTCCAAGTATTCCGTTGTGAAATGAGCAATTCTTGTTTGATGGTTTAAAATAGTGGCTGGAGCTGTTTTAATGTTAATGAGTCAAGCAAATTCATATTTCGGCCACTATCAGCACTAGGCAATGTGCAATGCTTAAGCGAGCATGGCAAACATAAGTTCACTAAGCCTGTTCCCCGAATCTTGTGTTTCTACCGTTCTCCGGGTATTTCTGATCGAATAAGGGATTTCAGTAGCTTATTTCTTTATTTCATTGAGGATAGGTGAGTGGGTGAATGGATGGATCCAAAGTGGAAGAATGAATGCTGAAATTTAGGATGAGCAAATGCTCCTAGAATGAATAGATCACTTTGGGTTCTACTGATGGATAGATGGGCCAAAGGTGGATTGGTCAATTAGCGACAAAAGAATTACTGATTTGCTTTTGTTGCCTTGTTCTAGTTAACAGGTGAGGAGGACTATCTGAAGAGAGCGGAACGGGGCGGTGAGGTGATATGGGAGCGCGGTTTGCTCACTAAGGGCTGTGGCCTCTGCCACGGATCCGCTGGTTCCGGTTACGCCCTTCTTAGCCTCTACCAGCACACCGGTAACACGAAGTACCTCCAAATGGCTGGAGCTGTGAGCTCTCCTTTCGCTTTCTCCTACTCTCCTCACTCTCTTTCTCGTCTCCCACCTAACGCCTCTCCTTACAGGTTGCTCTCTGGTGCACGGACTACTTCAAACACGCTGAGAGAACACCAGACCGTCCTTTGTCACTGTTCGAAGGTGTGCTACTCATTATTATTAGTAGTAGCGCGGTTTATTTGTCTATGTGAAAAATACCTTTTCTTTCTATTAGGATTGGCAGGAGCGATTGCGTTTTTGGCAGATATGCGCCATCCGGAGAAGGGAGAGTTCCCATTGCTTCATTGAACAGGTTGAAAAACCCGCTCAATGGAATCGAATGACACAAATTCACCTCTTTTTGGAAGACAGACCGCCAATTTTCATTTGTCCTCAATACAGTCTGAACATTAATTTCCTCATGTGATTGGTCGATTTCTTCATTAGTGCTACTATCCGCGTGAATTTTTAATATCTTGATGTAGGAATTAATCTTTTCGTATACGGATTAGTCGTACACATTCACGACTTCTACATGAGGTCTTTTCCCATCAGTAATTCCTGACCTATGCATAAGGCTATTAGACCCTGGACGCTCAGCTTCTAGCGGGTCGCTTTTTTTGCATACTCACGTGAGGTGCGCCTTATTTCTCAATTTCGCAAATGAGGACTGTTTGATATCAAAGGAGGGATGGGTTCATCTCTCGTACATCCTCCCTGCAACTTCGACTGTTATTATTTGGTAAGAGAATTGGATTTAGGACACTTGGTTGATCTCCAGTGGTCGTGTTTGTGTAGATGGACGGTCAGACCATACCCCGTCCATCGCGTCGATACGGTCATTTCAAAAGTTTAAGCTCATAGGCTAACCTTTGAGGATTAACTTCTGCCCGCTAGTAGGGTTCATATGCTGACAAACCATATATTTAAATAAAGCATATGACTGGATTTTGTAGCTTCGGTAAAGCATTTACGTGAACGGCAGTACTCATGTCAAAAGTACAAGAGTATCCAGCCTACAATAGGTCGCAAGGAATCCTCACGTTCTATCAGTTACTGCGTTAATCGGCTTCGCTCCTTCCGGCAAAACGTAAGGCAGTGATTCAATTATTTTGTAATATAAAAGGGTTAAGTTCGGGTGGTTCTGCGCCTAGTTACTATTGCACCTGCATAAATGACATGCTGACGCAGTGGCTGAAAAGCCCTCCTGAGGAAGTTCATTAGCAATATTCATTGTTAGAGAAAAATGTTTTCAATTTGATGGCTATAATGCCCTAAAATAACTATTAAAAACAGGAACAGCATATTGTCCGGCGAATGTAGATATTCCATTTCGCCACGCAGGCATTCAATCACCGTAGGTTATACTCCCTATTTACAATTTAGCCTCCAAAGTATGATAGTAAACATTCAGATATTCTGTGTGTTATAAAATATGAGTCTTTACATAGCACTTTGTTTGGTGGCGATTATTACATCTTCGGTAAAGACCTGGGGCGCCATACTTTATTCACCAAATTAGCTTTAAATTTGCAATATACTCAATGATAAAAACGAAACATTCAAACGGGAAAGAAATATTCCTTTTCTACAATCTGAACTATTTTTGGGGAGTTTTCTGGAGTACCCGTTTAACAAAACCATGCTAAAAGCACTGCATCAGTTTTTGTAGCCACAAATTAAATAAGTAAACAAGATTCCATGAGATCATTGAACTTTTTTGCAACTTTCGTCTAAGAAGTTACCCACAAATTCCTTACGGTCGCTATCATTCCATTTGGTTGACGGTCAGTAATCGAAAAAAAACTTGAAAATACACTTAGTATAAAACTAAATTATAACTGCTTAAGATTTAGTTTTTTAAATGCATGCTTAATGACTACCCCTAAAAAGACCGGGAACACTGAATCACCTGACCCCTTATAGTCGTTTGCTCATTGGCTTGTCCGAGGGGTACGCTGGTATATATTCTCTTGTTCTGGTTGTACACGTTTCATGGCAGGGAGTAGTCTCTCCGTCGTATTGTACCGCTTTAACTGAAGCGCTACCATTAGTATATTTTGGGTAGATAGGCCCGATAAGTTCTTGGTGAACTTTTTAATGTTTATTTCGTTTGCAGTATTGAGGCTCAGTCTCATATACTTTGGTATTTTCCCTACAATACGTCTTCATATCTAATCATCTCTTTTGACCTTTGGCCCTATTATTTTTTGTGTTCGTCCACGGATTTATTGCTGATTTTTACAAAAGTTCTCTTCTCTATTGTTGGGTTTTTGTTTTTACCTTCTAATCGTTTCGATAGATGTAGAACTTGATGATATAGTCGGGTTACTGAAAATTCTGCAGTTTTTTAGTCCCCATGTCAGTTCAAGAAATTAAACAGTGCCTAACTCTACTCAAGCAGGCTCTATCATGTCCGATATGGTGAGCCACTGATTTCTAATCATATCAAAATACTAGTCTGGACGACCTAAAACAGCCGGTGATCACGCCATGTTCACACATCTTTTGCGAATTTTGTCTCGATGAATATATGCTGAAAAAACGTTCCATCAGATGCCCTATTTGCAATAAGGATATCTCAAAAAGGTATGCACTTTCTCTCTCTTCACTTTGTTAGGGCGCTCACTTCGGCTGAAAAATTTAAGCAAATCGCCTCAGTGGGTAAGAAGATTATCGACGATTTTGTTGAGGAAAGCAAAAATGAATGTAAGTTCATCTTTTCCCAAACTTGGGTCTAGTCGTTCCTGTGACCAAGTTTGAACAACTTCATCTAAGCCAAGAATTCAGTCAAGCTCAGGTAGGCTTACTGTTCCTCATTTCTAAGCACACCCAGTCTAAAGTTGTTAAAGCAAAGTCGAAAAGCTCAGAAACTGTTGGGATAAGCAGCTTAAAGTCTGGCTTCTCGCTAATGACAAAGAGAATCTCGCGTCGTGATCAACCACGAACAAGCAAACGAATGGCGATCGCACTGGGTACTTCTGCTCGTATTCTCAAGCATCACATGCGTTCCAAAGAAGGCGCGTCCGTCCTTAATATTGACGAGTTAACACAACCCATGAGGGTTAAGCCTACTGAAGAAGCATTATCCTGTGAACTCTTCGCTATGACTCAGACTCCTCCCCTGATTGAGCCTAGTGTTATGAGACTCGACGAGTTCCCTGATCTCTCGAACAAGCGCAATCGTGCACAATCCGCCGATGTCAGTGGTGTCTCAATGAGACGCCCTCCGAGGGATGGAGAAGATGAGCCGAACTTCAGCCACCGGGGTTCAAAACTCTCTCTTGCCTCCGCGTTCAAACGTAGTTCTTTTTTGCGGAGTCTGTCGCGCGGTAGAAAGCGCCAAAATCAAAGCCAGTCTTCCGAATCGAGCGCTTCATTGGTGAGTTCGGACATTCCACCGTTGCGTGAGCGCCTATCAACTTCTGCGGCTACTCCCACACGGAAGAAGCGCAGAAGAACTAACGAGCTCTACTCTCCATGGCTACACAACTCACGCCTGCACTTTTTGAAGAAGTATCGCATTCCACCGGTCTCCTCGAAGCCGCGCACTTCGCTTCCTCCTACGAGTGCCAACGTTTTCAGCCCCGCGTGGTCACGCCTGAAGAGCTTGGGCACGGAGTTTGGACGGCAGTCGAAGACGCAGTTACTCATCCGCTCGATGAAGAAGTGCTCCTCTTCAAGGGTCGCCTTCAAACCTGTTGAGACAGCTGTACAACCGCCCAATTTGGGCCCTGTTTGTCGCTTTATATTACCTTCAAGGGGTCCTTGGTTTGAGGGCTCGGAGAAGGGGAAAACAGCTGAGCTCTTATGTTCTCATTGTGGTTCTAAGATTATTTTCATTTCAAATCCTGCTACTGTTTTAACCAGCCCCATACCCTACCCTGTTGTTCGGGATTCGAGAGCCTATTGGCCCGAGTTGTGGCAACAGTCACCCCAAGTGATAACAGGGCAGGGAGACGTCTCAGCAGTAGTGACTTCTGCCGTCACTACCCTGCCCTCATATGTACCTCCAATCTCACTCAACAGTCGTCAGCCCTGTGATCCAGCGAGATGTGAAGAAACAAACCAACTCCAGGTATTGTTAAATCTACTACCATCTTTAAGCAATCTCTTTTTCAGTTGGACAATTTTATTTGGGTTTGCTTTGTTGTGTAGATTCCGATGACACCGGAAAAGGGTACACCGTCTACAATCAATATCCAACCCTCACTTGTGCCCCAATCGTTCAGTTTGAACACCTCTTCTTCAAAATTGAGCTGTGAGGAACAGGTGTGTCACTAAAAATGACATTATTTGACATGACCACTCTCAAAATATCATGAGAGAATTGGCTGCTAACACCTAGATGTGTTATTTTTCTAATGCAATACCAGTTGACATTGCATTTTTTGTTAATTTCCTCACCAACTTGAAAACCAGCAAATGTAATCAACTTCAGATCGAGACCACCTTCTAACTCTCTTGCCTTTCTGAACTCTCACAATCTGCTTGCGATACGATTTGATTTGACCTCCATTATAAACTGGCAAAGAAAGTGTTATAGATAAGGGAACTGAAGTGTCACGTATGTAACTGGTAGCTAAAGTGTTAAAGGCTGTTGGCTCTACTACTAATGTTTTTTTAGGCGGAGGCTGGAAAACTTGATACACCTCCGAGTCCCCAAACAGTTTCTTCGAGCGATACCTCGAGTTTACCCGCCACCGTGATTAAGTCTGTTGACATCCAGCCGACCCCGACACTGCCCGCCGCCAATCCCATCATCCCTGAGACGCCGCTTCAGACCATGGCGACGGGGTCGCAGGTGATGACAACAATGCATGAGCATGACCATCGTGAGAATGGCATGAAGCATGATATTGTTAGCCTTGCCGTTAGAGAAGGGGTATTTCTTATCAGTATTAGATCAGCTTAGCGACAATAAACTGTCGATGTCTTTCAGGTTTCCTGAATTTCTTGCCTTTTTTGAAGTTACCTTTTGAATCAGATAGTTATGGCAACTTTGTCAGTTTTAGTTGATCTGACCATTGTTTTGACCCACTGTGTACTTGTTGTTAACACAATCAAGCCGTTTCTTCTATGCTTACAATATGCGGGTCTAATTCCATCTTGCTTTGTACTGGTGTCATAGTCTGCACGAATCCTACTCTGATCCATTCTAGCCTCGAGGCTGGGATCATCCACAAATCACGTCACTGGTAGGAGAGTTATTCGTGTCAGTGGCTCAAGTCAATTTTCAAAAATATACACTAGTCCTACTGGTTTCGCGTTTTCGTTCATTGACCCAATTTAGTCATGACCTAGTAATTTTACTCGTTTTTCAAGTTTTTGTCCATTGCGTGACGACCAGTTAAGTTGGCATTGTCCCTGCGATGTGGACTCATCATCTCTACGGCATTGGAATTATTCGATTCATTAAGTTCTGCCAAGATAGCACACCTTTAAGCACCGATTTGTGTCTGTATAAGCCCTTAATACGTTTGTTGCCAGGACTCTAGTGAAAAAATCAGTCGCAAAAGTCCTCATTTTTTTGGGTCTGATGTGGCGCCAACTGTCCGTGCTTACGCTCCTTTTTTCGGTTCTGTTCATTTTCTGCTAGCTAAGTGATTCGAATATGCCTGTATGGAGCGTTAAGTATATGTGACGCTGGTGGTGAGTTTCTTAAACAAATCCTACATTATAACAAATTGGGAAAAGGGAGCATCTCCCATTAAATTTGCTACTCCTTGGAACGCTATCAGAGGATCGTTTCAATTGGAAAAAAAATTATTAAATGATGATTGTGCTCTATTTCCAATTCTTGTGGTCAGGGCAGTACTACTTTGGTGTTCTGTATCTTCAAAGTATATTATTTTAAAGGGAAATGGACGTCGGCATATTCTCGATTATTTTGAGTGCTGCAGCAGGGTCTCCCTCTTCCTTAAATATGTGCATATTTAGTAAGAAGGTGAGATAAAAATGGCTTCGAACCAAATAATTATCACGGTAATTTGGATATGAGAAACCCTACCTTCTTAGGGCAGCATATTTGGCTATTGTTTAGGTTTGCAGCTTGTTTATACCTGTTCCCCTAAATACACGCTTAAGTGGCGTAACAGTTTTTTCCTGTCTACTTACCTCCATCTCAAGGAACGGGACGAACAGCAACAGAACCGCAGTGATTTGGAAGCAGTATCGCGGTTGGAGCAGCAACTGCTGGAGGAGTCGTTGAACGCAGAGCTACTTGTCAACCCCGGCACCGAGCCGACGGAGGAGTCAGAGGCGGAAGTGATCTCACCATCGTCACCACGCGAATCCTCTACCATCACCACTTTCGCCGCCTGTCCTGCCCCCGTCTCATCCGGCCTCTCTCCACTGCATGGCTTGAACAAGACTTCTGACCACCCCTCATCAACTGATAAGATAACTCGAGAAATGACCAAGCTTGATATGGTACGTTAGTCTTTTACAAGATACTAAAATTTGTCAAAATGCTTGAAAATGGATACAGATTTTTTAAAGAAATTTGACTTCATAACGAGTTGAGATGCTTAATCGCCGGGTTAACGATTGGATACTTGGTAAATGTTGGATCCATCCGCAAAGGTTCCTTTACTTTGATTAATGAAAGGTGGTGAAGAGTGTGTTTTGGTTAATGTTGCTTCACAGTGGCAAAAAATTAGTCGATCAAATTGATCCAAAGACTCAATAAGCGTTTTACGAGCTAAACTTTAAATGTTTTTCCCATGCAGCCTTGAGCTTAGAATTTCCAGTAAGTCACATCCGCAGATTCAATCCGTCAGGATTAGTCACGCTTTGGCGAACACTGGGGGCACTTCTCTCAGCCTCTTTCCCTCCCTTTATTCCAGATTCCAGACTCGAACGCGTTGGAAGAGGGTCTAGACGTGATTCCCTCCTCGCAGAATGAAGAAGAAACGAAAGAAGGAGAAATTCAAGTTAGAAGTGATGAGCCCATGGATGCCATGGAAACACCTCAAACCGAAGCAATATCAGTCCCTTTAATTCGGGTAGAGAGCAGTCAGCCTGTGACAGCAGCTACCTTTGAAGCACTCCCTCTGTCGCAAACTCCCTCCTGCACTTCTGCTGCTGACACGATACCCTTCACACAGCCACGGCTTTTATCTACCAGCCTTATTGCAGACACAGAGAATGTAAATCCTAGAAGTCGAGAGGATGAATCCACTCAGCCTACTATCTTCATTACTGGGTCAAATCTCTCCCCAATAGAAGTTGTGAGTGTAGCGTGAATATGTCAGAGCTGAGTCGAATACGAATATTCAGGGCCAACGGCTCACCTTTCTGCCTTGCTAGAACGCACTGCGTCGTTTCTGCCGCCAGTTCAACGCAGTGGAGATGTCGAGCTTCGAGTCGAATCGCACGACTCATGTGGTCATGGCGACGCAAGTGACGCGACCCCGGGTGGCGCAACGCACGCTGAAGTACTTTATGGGCATCCTTAATGGTGCGTGGGTGGTAAGCACGCACTGGGTTCGCAAGTGCCTCCTGGCTGCGACACTCCTCCCCGAAGTGAGTTATGATGGTGTAGTCTTACTGACACAAGCTCCGTTGTAAGTTTACCAACCATAAGTATAGAAACGATCATGTTCTAAGCAGTGGAAACCCTGTTCGTCTGCTGCTACATTTACTTTTATACACTCACCCTATCACCTAGCCTAGAAGACATCTTTGGCGTGGGAAGCCTTGTTAGTGTGCCCGAACCATCTTTGCACATCTTGGTCCACAGCGTGTGCTAACTTTTCTCAACTCTACGTGTTTATCTTTGCAAATAATCGTATTGTGCTCACACTTTCATCAACCTTTTCACCATTCCATTTGGGATTATTCGCGTTACTTGAATCCTTCCGCCTATTAACACGTAGTTTACGATTATTTTTCTGCTTCCATTTTAGCTTCCAGTTCATCGCTACCCATATTTGTTGTTAAGATTTAAGTTGCCCTTTGGAAAGGGTGCCTCTAGAACTATCTTCCAACTCGCCGTACATTGATTACCTAGCCAAACCACTGTTCAGCAATTTGCTGATGCCTTAGGCTAACTATGCGCCTCGCTGTACAATTGAAGACCACCAAAAAAAGTCTCTTTACGCCCCATGCCATTCCCGTAGGTGTGATGAGGCACACCAATTTAGGAAAATAGTCTACCTGTATTAAATAGAAGGGCTAGAGATCTACAAGGATGGGCGGGTATTTATGCCACCAATGGCTGCTAAAACCCGCGATGACCGAGAAGCTTGCGTAGTCAAATAAAAGTTCATTGCTTGGCCTCCTTCCTTTAAGTGTCATCCTCAGTGCTTTTCATGGTCTCTTCGTCTTTGGCTGTAACCGATCTCCCTTCAAATTAAAATCAGTTGTAGGGTTGGAAAGAAATGATACGGTAAATGCGTACTGTGGGGGAAACGCTACCTCTTGGTGGTAATAAATGCTGTGGGTTTGGTTTGGCTTCGTGAATGTTGCTATCCCTGCAAAGTGTATTGTATCAACGAAGGGTTGATTTAGGTGAGAGTATTAAGGACTGGGCAGGAGCAGCCTTTGCACCGGTCTCTTTTGCTGCCACTTCTCTAGAAGCAAAACATAGGCATGGCCTTCTCAAGCAGCAAGTTTGAGAGTCCACATTTCTATTTTGTTCAAGCGTTAATCTTGGTTTGTAACAGTAATTAGCTTGTTAAAGTATTCAAATTTGATTATCTGCCATTTAAACTCTATTCTCTTGTCTCAGGAGCCCTTTGAGGTCCAAGGCGACACGATGTGTGGTGACTGCCACGAGGGACCACGTCGGGGAAGGCTGCGCGTTTCGGCGGTTCCTCCCTCGCTGGGTACGTCAAATCGACCTGCCGCCTCCGTTTCGTGCCCCGATCAACGCCGACCCTTTGCAGGCCTCATGCTCTGTCCCTTTGGAGATATCAGCCCACTTAACCCAAAGGACTTCGAGGCTCTGGTTATAGCCGGTGGCGGTATTCCCATCGCCGATCCCTCTCTCTTCCCCTCCGAGGTTGTTTCCACCACCACCACCACCACTGGTGCTACCGAAAATAACCCCAAGTGCCTCATTTTCACCTGTCCCACGGCGCCAAAATTTCAGAAACATGACTGTATCGGTGGGTGCAGGGGTGTTGCATTTTTTGGAGGCCTATAAGTACTTGAATAGCCGAATTGTTTCTTCTGATGGCCAGATACAGCCGAGCGGTACCTATAAATGCGGCGGATGTTGATGCTGCATGAGCGTGCCACTATCTTATTTAACGTTCCTTTCTCTCTTTGCAGTCGTAATATTTGTTTCTTTTACCAAATCAGACAAAAATACCTTTGTTTAAGCACAGCATGTTGTTGGTTGCGGTAAAGCAACAGTCCACTCTCAAAATTATGAAAAATAAAGTAAGCATATTTGCTGATGGATTTGTATATTATTTACTGATTTTGTCCATGGAATTGTGAGCAAAGCGCTTAATTCCGGTAAAAGATATTTCCCTTGCAGAAGCGTTTCGACGACGGATTTGGGAAGTGTTGCCAGATTAAGCGATTTCTGGGCTAAGTCGTCTGTATTAGTCAGCGCTTCAGCCGGAGGAAACCTTTAACCAACGGAAGTAGTTGTGCATTCCCAAGTCAGCTGCGGTTTTAAAAAATGTCAATGTACAATTTTACCAAATCATTGTCGTTGTGATTTTCATAGAATACGGCTCGTTAATCCACTTGTCTGTTTTGCATCCCCCTACGTGACGTCTACTCATGTCGTGGTGTTTTGACTCTTTGGAGGTCAGGGCCATGTTAGCTCAATCATGTCAATCACATCTGTATTATAGCACTACTTTATGGTTTAGATCAGGCCGCGAGCTAATAATCTTTGTTCAAGAAATTTCAATTTCACCTCATTAACATGTTTTCCTAATCGTCTTTATTCGCAGACATATACAATAAGTACAAAATTCCAGTAATCAATTTGAATTGGATGCTCAACTGCGCCTCTGTCTATCGGCGTCTGCCAATGAGCAAAGTTTATTATATCCATCCGACGGAATGATCCAGAATCACTTACACATACGGACGCAAAATCTTCTCCGACGGTCTGTTTGGACATTTATTTATTCACTATTTTATTCTGTCATGTGTGCATGTATTGTGCCTAGTTCAAAACTAAAATAAATAATCATTGGTCTATTTTCAAGTGCAGTATTTGGTTTCTGCTTACCTGAAGTATGGTTTTGACGTCAAGCCTACCCTTATTGAACGTCAGCTTTGAAGTCGGGCAGTACTGGATGCTACCGACATTGAGACGGTAGTTGCATATCCAGTTGAAATGCGCATTGTGGTAAAAGCAGAGTTTAGTTACTGTCTGCAATAGTGAGGCAAGTTTTGGGTGCAGTGATTCGATATTGTGTTTAGCCACTTGGATGTAATTCGATTCGACGTCATGGGCCTCCGGCCAGGCCCATGACTCCTCGGCCCCTCTGTGCGTCATTAATAAATCTTTGGCCTACTACGACTGGCGATGAATCAGACCGTAAGAGAGGTCAAACTGCACAAGCCTTCAAGTACATGAGCGTAGTCATTCGTAGCTGTGATGCATAAATCCCCATCTGAATGGTTTTAAAAGTGGGGGGAGGTCCAAGTAGAAATGCATGGATCGGGCGATGACACCTAATACAGTGTGGAGGTGGATAGATTTTCGCATACTTTGACGGTCATTCCCGCAAGCATTTCACAGTTGTATCGTAGGGTTGACAAGACGAAGTAGCTCCGTTGTTTAAAAGTAGATAATTAGACTACGGCTTTCACTTGCCTCAAGGGATCGGTCCCTGAGCTCAATAGCCGATGCGAGCTGTCGCTGTTTCATCTGAAACTGTCATGCACTTCATAATGCCGTCTTGCAGGGGTCATACGACTTCTTCGTCGGTATTGGACCAAGGATAACAATTATCTCTCATTGCATATGGCGTTGTGCGACCACATGTGAAAGCATTTTGGACTCTCTGAGGCAAGACTACTGCATCTGACGTACGACTCAAGCAGTGAGCTCCGTAGTAAAAAATCGGACGGCCCAGAAGTCGAAACACGGATAAAGATAGAGTCCCCCTGATTACCAGATGCCGGCGGGGGCTTTTCGTCACTGTTATTTATAGTGCAACCCTTCAATTGTACGTTTTAATCTCGGTATTGGTAATGGGCCACTTGGGTCTCCGGCATTGAATCCTTGCCCGGGTGTCTCTGAGCCAATCATGATAATAGCCTTAAGCCCTACCATAGGTCAACAATGCACATTCTGCCCAAGTCCTTTTCTTCTTTCGTCTTTAGGGAAGTCTCGAGTCGCTACAATAGCATAGCGAGATGGTTAACCAGACAGTCGTGTTTTTGGGATCACTGATGCTTAATAACCGCAAACAGACTATGCAAATCAGAGGTTTATCGAAACTTTTTAGCAAAAACAATGTGGTGAATAAACACATTTAGAACGTACACAGATTATTGCATGCATATTAAAAAATAGGCAATACTTCGGCCTAAAACTACCTTAATTTGCATATTCGCAAAAGAAAACTTGCAAAAATTGAGGTTTATTTGTATATTTATATTAAACTTTGAGTGATTTATAAGATTCTAAGGCAAAATAGGGTGATGAATTATTGTTGCAATTTAGTGTTGGGTGATATATGCTTACGTAAGTATTGTAATTAAGGCTACTAATATAAAGCAAGTTGTTGTCCATTCAACTTTAACTAATTTTTTTGGTGATTGTATTGGCAGTCACAGCCTATGAATCAGTTTTGACAGATCAGGTATCTCCCGTTGGATTTGAATGTCTACGGTGTGGGCTGATTAAATTATATGTTATTATCGCATTTCTCATAATTAAGTGAAGTCAAAGCTATGAATATCTACGAGTCCGTACGTGCGTACTTTTCAAAAATGTTTGCTGTTCCTCCTGGCATGAAAGTTCTCATTGTGGATGAGGAAACATTGGTAATATTAAGCGTCACGATGGCATTTTCGGAAATTATGGAGAGGGACATCTTTCTCGTCGAACGCATTAAATCCACCAGGGAATCTTTAAATCACCTCACTGGAGTTTATTTTGTTCGACCCACTAGTGAAAATGTGACACTGATATCTCAAGAGCTCAAGTCGCCAAAATATGCATCCTATTTTTTATTCTTCAGTCATGCCTTGTCTAAGCAATCACTCAAACAGCTTGCAGAAGCTGACATTCATGAAGTTGTTATGGAGGTCCAGGAATACTTTGTCGATTTTCTTGCACTCTCACCGCATCTCTTCGCGATCGAGCGTCCTATTTGCTTTTCCCAAGGTTTTGATGTAATTCCTGAGGTACTTTCACGTTCATCTCTTGCGATTACAGCTGTACTTCTTACTCTACAGTGGTTGCCACAAATTCGATACCAGCAGTCCTCTGATCATTGCCGCGTTTTGGCCGAATCTGTTCGGTCATTTTGCTCTCGCGAGACTGATTTATTCGATTTCCGAAAACCGGACCGCCTTCCAGTTCTCCTCATTCTTGACAGACGTCAAGACCAAATTACACCTCTCCTCACCCAGTGGACCTACGAAGCAATGATTCACGAGCTTATTGGAATTAAGAATAATCGAGTCGTCCTCCACACTTCTGCAGGCGCTCCAGATAAGATGTCTGAGTTAACACTGTCTCGAGAATTCGATGATTTCTTTAAGACAAATCAGTATGTCAATTTTGGGGAGATCGGCCAGGCCATCAAGAATTTGGTGGCGAATTTTCAGAAAGTCACTAAAAAGGTGGACGCTGAAAACGCTAAGTCAATTTCCGATCTCAAGGGTCTGCTAGAAAACTACCCTGACTTTCGGAAGGCCTCTGGAACTGTTGAGATGCACGTTGCTATTGTATCAGATTTATCTCAAATCGTCAAAAGTCGCTCACTATTAGAGATAAGCGAAGTAGAACAGGAACTTGTTTGTCAAAATAACCATTCTACTAGTTACAATCGAATCCGTTCTTTGGTATCGGATCCCCGTATTAAGAATGCGGATGCTCTTCGTCTGGTCATCTTATACGCTCTTCGCTATGAGCTGAACCTTCGAGAAATTTCTATGCTATCCGCAGCTGTTATCGAACGTGGTGTTTCCAAGGACGACGTTCGTGTGATTGAGCATCTTAGCGACCATCCGAGCAGTCAGAAACGTGTGGCCTCCTCTGACCTTCTTTCTGCCGTTCGAGATGTCAGTTCTAGTCCCTCTGTCTCCAATGCCACAAATGCCGTCGCCTCAATTACCAAACGTTTAGTCAAGGGACGGAAGAACGTTGAGAATGTCTACACTCAACACGAACCCCTTATCGTCGATATCTTACGCGAGTTGATTCAGGGCCAACTGCAGGAGTCAGGCTTCCCAACGCTGGACTGTGGACAAGGAAGTCCGTCCTCCTTACCTGCTAAAAAAATCGTTGTTTTTATCCTTGGTGGTGCCACATACGAGGAGTCACTTGCTGTGCATAAGTTGATATCATCAACGCCTGGGCTGAATGTTGTGCTCGGTGGTACCACTGTGCATAATTCGGAGTCATTCTTGCACCAGCTTCGCTTGATGTCTCATTCAGAGCTGCAAACGGAGGATGTGGAGACTGTTCCGGGTCCAAGATCAACGTCAAATCGATTTCCAACCTCTTTGGGTTTACCCAAGTTAAGGAAAGTACCGGCTGGTAAAAATGCGCGATACTCCCTTCTTCGTTAGATTCTTTCTCTTAGTTCTTATTTCTTCTTACCAACTGTGATATCTCATTAACCCAATACTTCATTTTTGTTATCTTGTCAGTATTATTATCTGTTGTCTGTATTTAAGTAAATCACGTTATGTTGTGCCTGCAGCCTTTTCTCCGATTAGTAACTGGTTGATTTGAGGGTACTGATCTTGAAGAGTGTTTTCGAGCACCTTATGGAATGTTTGCTTTAGGCGATAGCATCCACATACACTCGAAGCTGTCTCCTGGCGAATTCTTGTGCGTCCTTTCGCCAGCCCTTCCGATGTCGCTATATTCCTTCTCCAGGTACTCTGGAACAGCGGTTATTCCGGGAGGTCACGAAACCCATCTATCGGAAGCCGACGCTCAGTCGTCAGGAGAAGTATATCATGGTTCGGGAAGAAATCCAAAAAAGAGTATAAAATGGTTTTAAAGGATTTTTCTAATTATGAATGCAAAGTGGCGACACTTCTGTTTTTTTACTCTTCAGATTGAGCAAAATCCTTATCGAAGTTTTCTCATCAGAAAGGCAAAAACGGAATTCTACGACAAGGCTGATGGACGCATGGTGCTCATTTTTCAACCCCTCTTCTGTTTCCCATGGGAACTGATGCCGGTCAAAAATAAGCTTTTTGAGAATGGCCTGCAGTTCCGGCGATTTCCTATGGCCATTCTGAAGTAAGCGTCTTCTCGCGGCGTTTAGTCTTAATTTAGGCACCCAGAATACTGTCGTGCGAAGCAATTACTAAACGTAATTAGTCATTAATTTGATTCTGGCTTTTTACCTTACATTTACTTGTTTTGAAGTGAGGAATTGCGGGTTTTGCAGACTTGGATGTTACTAGTTGTGTTGTGTCGAATTGTATTCAAAAATAACTATTCAGAGAAGCTGCCAGAGGGACAAAGTGGCAAATTTTTGTGGATACGGTACTTAAGGAGCCGATTCCTAATCTCTATCTCTTTGGTGATCCCACTCCACAACTGTGTGCAACGGCGCTGTCCATCACGGGTCGAACACGATTCCTCGTTCTTCTTGGTAGGTGCTGTTTTAGTATCCTTTCTTTATAAACTCCCGATGTTTGTGTAACGCTGCTTAGCTGCCAATGGTGTGGAAAAGCACCAGCTGCTGTCTTGAGAAGAGAAAAATGGTTGCAAATGTTGGTAAATGGAGTGTTTAGCTAGGCGAGAACTTGGCTGACAAACCCATACATCGTACTTTGGCTTTTCGTTTGAAAGTTACTCTCTAGCATGTGATTTCGATTGTGGAAATGAACCACGTGGAAGACCTGAGCCGTGGATAACATAACTGATCTGAAAGTTGCAACAGAAGCAAGTGGATATGAAGATAGACGTGAAACAGCAACAAGGTTTGAGGTAGCTCTCTTCGGTCTAGATTTTGCAGCTGATTAGACGAAAAGGGAAAAAATGAAGTTTCGAGGGCAAACAGTTGAGTTCGGTCATCAAATCTTTCATGTGACAATGCTACACCGTCTATCAAAAAAGAAATACAATAGATGAATTTGGTAATTGCCTACTCTTTAGTACTTGTCGAAGTCAAGTAGTAAACTACTTTATTGCAGGCCCTAATTAAGCGTTTCGACCCGGCAAGCTACGAACACTGTCTTCCATCGAGGAACAACCGGCTGTCGTCCTCTAGCTTCGTCGTTGTCATCGTCAAGATGACAAAATTGTAACCAGCAGCAGCTTAGTTTAAATAACACTTAATAAATTGCACCAATCTTGTCTTAGATCAGGACCCTTTCGATGTTTACTAGACCCTGTATCTAATGTATCTTTAAACGATTTTCAAATGTGTTTCTTGAGTATCTCAATCCATTCTAGCATTCGCACATACGAACCTTTCTGTCAATCTTTCCACTAGACCATCTCTGTGGCAATATCCTTGAGATTTCGCCCAGCACCAGCTTGTCAACAATCCCCGTTTCAAAATCGTTGCTTCTAGTCGCCCATGTTTCCTTTTGGGTTTCAGGACTATCGTTTAGGTCGATATATGTTCAGGTTGCATAACCTTCAATTAATTGCACCGTTTCTTGCCTCTAATCAAAAAGTGGTGATTTCATATTTAATCATTTAATATGCTATTAGTGTTAAAGGTAAGCTGTCGCTTCTGAGTTTGCCAAACACAGGGCAAGAAATTAACACTGTCCAAGTAGTAGTAAGTACTTTCCTCTTTTTTTACCATGGTATTCGGATTCTGCCTAGCCTGATGATCGTCCTCAGCATGTAGATATTTGTCAGTACGCCGGAACCATCCTGATACCTCCTAGGTACCTATTGTGTACTAACTCTCTTTCGAACTTTGTCAACGATTGCGTTGTGTTCATCATGCCCGCAGGTGATGTGAGGATCAAGCTCCCAGCATCATACATGCATTTCACATACTGGTTGACCGTTTGAAAGAATAAATGGGTGTCTGGCGTGGTTGTGAACTATGAACCACCATAGTTGGGGTCGTTACTGACAGGCGTACGGTTGCCTTAAACGTTCCTGCAGATATTAGTGAGTTTGAATTTGGCGTCTTCTTTGCCAAGAAGCTTGTTTCATCGTGCACCATGCGTTGTTATTTGCACCTCATCCTCTTTTGCCTCAGACCCTTAAAATCAAAAGTTCTCATTTGGCTCGAAGGTCTTTTATAACTTGAAAAAAGAGATCCATTACTGTACGTGCAATTCATTGCGGGATGTATTGTTTGTAAGCTTTAATGCTTTTGTTTGCTAACGGCGTTGTTAAACACCCAGGCGGTATGATTCAACACCGCTTAATGACTCGAGATGAGGTGAAAAAGTACGCCACCCTCGGTGACCTACCAGCCGTTCATGCCGAGCTTTTAAGCACGCTGCAACGGCCCATGACAGAGACGGGGCAACTCCTCAATCATCACGGTGGCCAGTTGTCCACGCTGTTACAATACCGCTCGAAGTCTGGTGATGACAGCGAGGACAGTGACTCTCCCAGTAGCAACTCATCCGACAGTAAGTCCGACTCGGATGGTGATTGAACGACCGGTCCTAGCTACTTTTGTACATAATTACCTAATGCACGTATGGCCGAATTTATAGTCTATTATGTTAATGATGCTGATATTTCCCCTTTTCTATGAGTGGTGTAAGTAATAAAGCATGCTAAAGGCTTCTTAGGCTTCTTCAGTTTCCCGACTTGGCTTTGGTGGTGCGCGTCTTGTTCAAGGCTTACTGGCTCGTCCCCACCCACTTTCAGATTCCCGCTCGGTAACACTTGCCGGCGACATTGTTGGCGAAGGCACTCCAAAAGAAGGATAGTCATACTTTCCGCTAGATATATGCTATGCCAAAGCATTGTAGAGGAAAGTTAGCTGCCATGAGTAGCCGGATTCGTGGGGTCACGATGCCAGGTACTATTGGAATAACAGCATAGAAGTACCATCGGCACCATTAGAATAGTTTCCTCCTTGATGTAATTTCCTCGGCAGTGGAGTATGTTCAGGGCATATGCGGATAACTATCCGTGGTAGGCGCTCCAAATAATGCAAGAATGAAGAGCACTCTTGCCCTGACATCCTTGCTCATACCCTGTGACTAATGGTAATGCACCCAAAGCCCTGTAACGAACAAAACGGAACCAGTTGCAAGAAATTCAAGAAGCAGAATGGTACCTCTCGCGTATGAGGCTAGCCACGCTGACCAACTCATTTTTCTGCTATTGGCTAATCAACTGATCCAACGTACTACACTCCCAAATCTTCTGTGCATTTACGACAGACACCCCAAAGCACCTATCCATTATGGAAGTTCAGAGCTCACTCCAACACTCCGCAAGTGATATTTGTTTTACTCAAAGGTTGGCACGGGCATGTCTCTGTCAATTCCGAACATCATTTCAATGACTTGGCGCTCCACTTCGTGCATTCATAATAAACTTTCACTCGGATTTGTACATCCCATAGCGCCTTCAAGGAATACTCGGATACCATTATGGCCTAAGCAATATGTGTAGCTATATTAAACAAGCTACAGTCAAACACCTGTACAAAATGTGGAGTTGTTTAATTTTAAACTATTGAAAGAATAGGAAGAAATAATAATCCAATAGGTGCCAGTCCTACGTATAAATGCATACAAGGAGGGGAAATCAGCTGTGAAGGTAATCCCGTCAAGTACGAGTATAATGACAGTGACAACTCAAACAAAAGGAGAACTCAGGTAGCAGCGTTCCGTCGAATCTGTTCTTGTATAGTCACGTTGTATGCAGTATGCGCATCGAGGCGGTCCATTTTGCGTTCGAGCGTCTTAAGACGATTGTCCATTTCGGCTAGCCTTGTACGGCATGAAGAGTGGAATCGGTTTAGGAACTCTACAACAGTCTTCAGGCTTGTGCATATTGTTTCACTGTTTTCTCTATTTGTCCAGTCCTCTTGAATTTCACTTGAGTAATCTGACGGCTCCATTGTGCACAACGGGGTCAGTGATGGAACGGCGATAAGTGGAAGAGCTGAGACCCAAAGTCCTCCCCGTAGAACCATACTCTCGTAGTCCAGTAAAGCAATGAGATTTTTCAAGTGCTATCATTAGATTGGTACATGCCATCTCGTTGGCACAAAATGACATCAGTTACTGTATGTTATTTTTTGTCTTATTGTTGAAATTAAAGTCAGTGTCTAGCCTGAAAATCTAAAGTTTATTTCTGTTGATGTCCTGCTTTTTCACCTACTTTTTTTGTACTTTATAGTTTATATGCCAATTACACTTTCCGAAAAAATGCTGGGCAAATGAACAAATTTATCGGCATTAATTACTAGTACCTGATCTGTGGCGTCCCGAGACTCCCCTAAGGCGAAAGAAGACACAACACTCGGGCAGAGTATATATATTCAGCACGGAGGTGTCTGGGCTATTGGCATGGCCCAAAAGGCCAGCCCACCCAGCGAGGTACAAGGGGGCTAATTCGAAGTACAAAAGTTGCGCCTCACCAAGACCGAGGGATAAACCACTATCGTATTACATAGCCTCCCTCCTCTTTTGAGCGTCGTCCCCGGCGCTCCCGCAGGTCAACCTCCCGCGTCAGCCATTACAACGTAGTCGGTGCAGTAAAGAAACACCCACGAGCCAATCGTGCCAGTCACCAAATTAGCGCGCAACTGAAGGGATACTTGACCTCAACGTCACTGATCCCTCTTGGCAGCTTGACTGGGTCTGGGGTTTCGTCCGGTTTAGGGATTTCATTCAGGACGGGGAACTGCGCCAGCCATCATGTGTGTCCATAGAGAGATGCGGGAACACTGGCCTAAAAGCAGATTTGAATAAGGGAATACAAGATTTAAAACAGGCCCATGGGGGACGGTAGGGGAAATCCGTAACGAAACTTCCAGATGGTTCACGGCTAGTGCCGTTTCAGTTGCTAATAGCTTTTCTGCAGAACACGGGACTGGGGGAGATGCCGAAGGTAGACGTCAACATCAACCCTTCTGTTAGGAGTCATCACCATTCTCCCATCCGTAGCATATGTACTTCTTCCGTCCCACTAAGGCTTATCACGCAGAAGTGGAAAATCAGGATACATGTCTTTCAAGATCGGGTTCGCTTTCCGCTGCCACCAATGTAGCGTCCCAAGACTCCCTGAAGACGAAAGAAGACAAAATACTCGGGCAGAATATATATACTCAGCACGGAGAAAGTGTCTGGGCTATTGGCATGGCCCAAAAGGCCAGTCCACCCAGCGGGGTACAGGGGGGCTAATCCGAAGTACAAAAGTTGCGCCTCACCAAAACCGAGGGATAAACCACTATCGTATTACAGGTCTGTGTCCATAAAAAGATTCTGCGTAAAACCTCATTATTTTTGCTAGGCCAAACTTGCAAACAGCAGAATATTTGTTTTTATGGTGCCTGTATCTGTGTTCCTTGTATTTCTATATAATAAATGACCATATCTCATTGAACACATAAAGCCTAAATGCAAATTCCGGGGAATGTTGATTACCTACAAGTATTGAGAAGTCGGAACATTGGATTTACTAGACTACAATGATTCTAAATAAATACTTAAGTGTTTTTAAGCCTTGGACTTCACAGTCCGCGTGAAATTAAACTCCCACTAAGTGCCAAGGTGCTTGTTACTGATGACTACTTGGCTTTTGTTACTGTAACCCATGTTTTCAAGTCGCACTGTCATGTTAGCATGAGGAAAGATTCGACATTAACAGGCAAGTGGTGAGGAGACTATAGTCATGGCCAACAGACCATGCTGCCGAAACGGGGTGCAACGCACCGAGTCTGCCAAGTCCGCTTAATTCAACATACAGTTCAAGAAAATACCAAATTTTCATTCAGCCTCCCTTTTTAGTACCCTGTCTCCTCGTGCTAAAGCCCACCCACAAGTTTTGAGCATGAGTCATTGAATTCTCACTTAAAGGAAAAGGCATGTGATCCTAAATTTTAAGGTGCATTTGAGTGATTCCGTTGTGGCGGGAATTTCATCCAATTTATGAACTGTATTGGAGGAGGTGGTGGCAAGGTAGGGGAGAAGGCATTCATCGTCTTCATATTCCCTAAGGCCTGATAATGCTACACAACAAGCGCATTTATTATAACATTCTCCATTTGTGTTAACATGAACCTGAAAGAATATAGGCTATAAGTAATTTGTTAAAGGCAAGATTGAGAGTAGATTCAGAGGGCTAACATTGTGCACCCATTCCTCCTTTCACCTTTGTTCTGATTTCTGGCATACCTAGCCGTCTATCTGGGTTCCACAATTGTAATCCTCATATTAGCACCGTCGACAGCACCATAATGGGCTTCTCCAAACTTTCAAATGATTCGGACTTGGCACCGCGTCTTTTGTAAAAAAAAAGAACTACAACCAACTTGAATATGCAACGATAGGGCAGTAGGGAAGTTATAAGAGAGTGGAGCTCTACTAAACTCTCTAAAATTGACTTGCAAAGCCTTGTCTGTTTGTTATCTCCTTACTCTTTAAAAGTGATGATTTCATTGTTTCAATCAATCAAGTTTAAGGGGCCAATGAAATAGGACCGATGCTTCTCCCTCCCACCACCGCCTTCAGGCCCTTAAAGTAAGCAGACTAGTTGGATAAGAACACTCTTTATTTAATGTTCAAATCGCGTTCCCTCCTCGGGATCCGATGCTGTCCCATCTGTTACAAGGTCGCCTTTTATCCGAAAAGGTATGACACAATTACCTAAACAGGACCTTCGAATCCAATGCATTTACTTTAGTTCTCTGTCTTTTCTTTCTAAAAACATAGCAACCCAAATATATCCTAGTGATATCCTTCTCAACTGCACTACCAACCATGACTTGATAACAAATTATTTTTTCACATAGGTATGACTTATTACGAGTCTAGGAAAGATCTGAAATGCTACGCATTTTGATTTGTAAATCCTCTAAGATGGTACAAAGTTGGGAATTTCAGCCGAATTTCCCAACCTTAAGTTTAACCTTAGAAAACTTCTTTGAAATAGATTACCCTTTTAACCAAGCAGTAAAGAGACGGTGTATTTCAAAATATATTAGTAAAGGCTTGAGATGTTAAGCAGATGAGAGAAGAGGCGGGTGGAGTATAGTGGAGGAGTGACATTGGTCATAGTCACGGTAAAGGTCGTAGTGGTGGCAGTTGCGCCAATGACAGCGAATACCAAGATGGGTGGATTGTCGCTACGTGTACTACTGATCCGTCGCAGTAGACTCCACTCTACTCTTCCCCTAGTTCTGCTCCGCTCCTCTTTCTACTCCATTCTGTCCAGGAAGTGAAACTATACCCACATATCCATCTCCTGTAAAAAAGGAAATAAGGAAATGCCTCATATGACAATGGCTGTAACATTACCCGCGCCGATAGTAAGTGTGATAACCCAAAAAGATGCCATAATCTAAAATTATGTAATTCCTTACCAAACGTAGCTAATGAACTATGACTTAATTTATTCTTTGTTGACCGCTCATTTTCTATGCGTACCTAAGATGAAAATTTTACAGCTAAACGAACGTAAATTTTTGGGGTTCACCATTTGTAAGTTCAAAGTTCAAAGAAGACAGAATATGCAGTGCTGACGCGCAGAACTACAAAAGCAAAGCCTTCAGTCACCGTGTAACCAAAACGAAGGGTAAAACCAACAACCAGAGTATTGCAGATAGTACATTTGAACAGCATGCTATAAACAACGCTGCTGATTGTGGCCTCATGGTTGAAAGTATTATCTCTCCCTTCAGTGGGTCAACTGTACATCTAATAAGGACTTTACGTTTCACTTCTTGGTATAAGAGATTTAGCATTGCTGAAATTGTAAAGATATCTGGAATTGGCTCACCACTGTTTTAACCTCTGTATTGAAATCATCTAGAATACAAAGAAGTTCTTTCGTCCTCCACCATCCTGCCAGGTTGATTTCTCACCAAACCAATGTACTCACAGAACCAAAAAACATTGCTATCCTTTCACTGGTTGAGTGCAAATTTCCTAGTGGTTTATGCAATGGATTAGGTCACGCAAATAATTTATTTCACAATCTACATTCTCCTGAGGTCACTAGTAAAATTTTGACCTACCTTCCAAAGTTCAATGCACGTGACTAAGTGTACGAAACCGATGGATCGATCCGGCGGTTTGTGCTTTCTCTTTGGCCTAATTTAACAAATACTCAGAATAGATGATAATTTTAAACACTGTTTTAAGAGTTCCCATGGCTCAAGCATCCATTTAAGAAGTTTGACCCTCCGTTATCTTTGCAAAGTGTACCAACCTTTACAGCGGTCATGGGACTATAAATAATCATGTTACGTTCTAACACTCAGATGCAGCGCTAACCACTCCATTCAAGATTAAAAAGAGACGAAAACCTTAAGTTATCAACACAAATGGTGTGTGCAATGACTTCCACAAGTATTTCCTCACAATAATGAGCATTAAATTTTTCCTAACTTTTCCTCCGCTGCACAGGGCCGTTAAACGTTTCCGAATTCAATCCAATTATTCATATAAGTGGATCAATTACTTACTTGCAATGGAATGATTGTTGGTTAAACTACTCCTTTTGGTTTCGTGGGTACTTAAGGCCCCACCTTCGCACTTCTGATGGGCACTTCGGCCTGACCCATGCCAGTAGCCCCTCAATTCTTTTGTACTTCTGCAAAATCATGCCTTCTTTTGAATTTGGGGAATACTCTGGGCGCTACATTGGCGGCAGTGGAAAGCGAACCCGATCTTATAGGACAACTACCCTCACATTCATTATTAAATGCTGCATTTTAAAGTGGTGGGGGAAGGGCATAGGCTGCGGATGGGAGAATCTGTGACGTCCTCCAACGGAAGGGTTGGTAATGAAGTCTACCTTTGGCAGTGTTCTTATGGCTAGAGACGGACATGCGTAATAGCCTACACATTCCCCATCCCTAATGCAACTCTTAAACAAGACGGAACCCAAGATCCATAGGAGTCGCCAACAGGACACAGTGACGTTGCGGTCAAATATCTCCATTGCGCGCAAATTGGATGACTGGTGCGGCTTGGTTAGTGGATGTTTTCTTAAGCACCGACTCCGTTGTAACGGTGCAAGCAGAGATGGGCCAAGAGGTGCACTAAGGGCGACGCCCGGCTATGTAATGCTTTGACTGTTTATTTAACTCGAGGTTTTGGTAACAAGCCACTTTAGGCTCCGCCATCATACCTTGCTAGGGTGTCCCAGCTTCGAAGCCAAACCTGTAGACCCTCAGCCCTTCCGTAAATCGACAATACATATTCCGCCCTAGTATTGTGTCTTCTTCCGTCTTCAGGGAGGACCCCGGGTGCTATTGAATAAATTAACTTGTTTTGAATAAGACTATATTTATTTGACAAGGATTTACGTACTACGTCAAGCATTCCCATGAAATAGGAGGGTAGTTGATTTTAACAATCTAGAGACTTAAAGTCGAAAATTACTGAAACGCTTTTATGAACGCAGCGATAAAAAAATTATTCTTTATCCTATCAACGCGATGGTAGCAGATTAGCTTTGAATTAAGAAAATACTTCTTTTTCCCTTTAATCAAATGCTTGGGGAAAATGTGACAAGCCACATTGCCAGAGTAAGGATGCTACCAACTTTTGTGGCACATAAGGATGCAATTCCCAGAATTTAACACCTCTAATGGTAACTATAGTATTATACTACTTACAAATGACTGAGCTTATGCAAACTTCAACTTTTAGTTACCTATACAAAAACACGGAGCCGAGAGTAATTATTACTGGCTTCAGAGCTGTTGCAGTCGAATATGTGTAAATAAAGGCCAATCCCGAAAAGGAAAGTGTGGCCTCAAAGATCTCCCTTAACAAAACCGAAATCGGGGATTAAATAAGTTACCAGCATATAGTACTTGATTGAGAAATCACGTAAAGGCAGTTTCAACTTCAAAAGCCACTAAGATGACTACTTTCTAAACAATGCCATCCGTACAGCGAGCAAAGCTGCCAAACTGTTAGATAACATAGTTAACCTCTTATTGGTCAGACACATTGGAATATGTAGCTTCTGTTCAAAATAAGAACATATGCTGTCAAAATTTCTAACCAACCTGCACTGAATCAATGGCTAAAAACTTAAATACGCAAGAGAGAACAAAGAACAGTAAGAAAGGAAACAAAATGATTTGAACTAAAAAAACACCACCACTGCTAGGACACAG